AGTACCTAAGACGAATTGACCCAAAGAATTAAATTGGATTTCCTTCCTGCAAATTGTGACGATGAAATATGGGAACAAATTAAAACCAGAAAGCAGAGAAAATTTGGAACCATTTCTATTTTCGCAACTCAAATGGAGAGTCTCTTTTCTCGTTTATCACGTCCACTTGTCGAATCAACTGAAATTAAGTACCTTAAACAAAACTTAATACCTTAATACTTCTCTGCTTTGGTTCTACAAGAAATAAATTCCGTTGATGAACTCGTTATTCTAGTTGAAAGGTTAGAGGAAGCATGAAAAATTCCCTAGGAATCAAGTTTCCACAAACAGTCCTTTCTTCAGAAACAATTCCGAGAATTCTACAGTCTTAACTAGTTCTCAAAGTCCTAGTTTTTCTCGTAACTCACAACCTTCCCGGAATAGTTCTCAGCCTTCAGCTCGAAATTCTCAGACTTACCGCACAGAACAATTCTCATTTTAACTCCCGCAACGCACCTGAAGGCAAGTATTGGAATTGGGATGGTACCGGTCATTTTTACTTTGATTGTCATCGCCAGAGAAAGAAATTCTGTTTCCGTTGTGGTTTGGCAGGCAGATGTAACCGTGAAAACGTGTACTACCTGAAATTCAAAAAACTGAATTCTGGTGGTATACGACAAGGCTATTGTATATTACCTACCTTATCGGCCAATTATCTTACCTAACCTTCTACCGAACAAATCACTTACCTTGAATTCTACAAGGACTATCTTGTATCTTTTTCGATACCTTTTTCGGAACTTGAAAACCATACCGCTGAACTAGCTCCTGTCTTTGTGCCTCGAACTCTCGACAATCGACCCTACATTAAGGTAAATATTTTTGATTTTGAAGTTGTCGGGTCATTTAATAGTAGCGCAACGATTTCCATTGGTTCAGAAGGTTTAAAGTTCCTCAAAAACTTCGATATTGTCATATATCCTTCTTCCATTAAGTGTGTAGCTATAGCTGATGGCACACAACAGAAAGTTAGTAGTATTATTGATTCACTATTTACCTTAATGATACTTGTCAAGTCCTATAAGCTTTAGTGGTACCATCCTTGGTACGCAGTTCAATTTTTGGTAGCGATTTTGCCAGACAATTCTCAATGATAGTGGATTTCAGTGACTATTTCACTAGAGTGTATTACACCGGTAATAAATTCGGTATTCAGCTGACAATATTGCTACCTGGACAATATCAATAACATGGTATTTCAGCGACCATTTTTTGACATTGTCAAACTGATATTTTTAATTTGAAGTTTTTATTCATATTTTTGCATTCTATTTATTTTCAAAATCTTACGTGAAATAGTCATGACGAATACCACTCGAGAAAAAATTGTATAGGCAAAATTGTTCTCAACGTTTTATTCAAGTTTTTTGATTTTCGGCAATTTCGCTCATGACATTTTTGATAAAATCACTGGCCTGACGGCTCCTGATTTTGTCAAAAATGTCATTCGCGAAACTGCTAAGCAACAAACTTTCATACCTTTCGATAATTTTGCCCAGAAATTTTTTTCTCTTGTGATATTATAAATATATGAAAATACCTGGTTTGCCCAAAATACTCCTAACTTTCCAGAGTGATGCTAGTGATGTTGGACTGGGAGGTGTCCTCACTCAAATTATCGGTGGTGTCGAAAAAGTAATAGCATATGCTAGTAGGTCTCTCACTAAAGCGGAACGAAACCTTAGTGCAACTCAGAAGGAATGTCTCGATCTCTTATTTAATATCGATCGTTTCAGGGGTTATTTTGAAGGTTTTAAATTCACGGTTGTCACTGATTGCCAAGCATTGTTGTGGCTAAATAATCTTAAAAATCCCACAGGAAAACTTACACGTTGGGTTATGCAGCTGAGGACTCATTCTTTCGATTTAGTTCACCGTAAAGGTAGAAACAATATTGTGCCTGATGCCGTATCTCATATCCCACAGTGTCTTCCCGAAATTTCTCTCATCAGTATCGTTCCTGAAAATATTGTCAATTGGTATGTCTCCTTGAGACAAAAAATCCTTCAATCTCCCGATCATTTTCCTCACTTTAAAGTTCAAAACGGTATTATCTACACATTAATAATGTCTTCTGTCCCTGTCCAATCCAACACTAAAGAGTGGAAAATAGTGGTACCTAGATATTTTCAGAAACAGACTATACAAGATTGTCACGATCCTCCTACTGCCGCTCATTTAGGTTTCTTCAAAACTTTGTCCCGAATTCAAGAAAATTTCTATTGGCCTAGAATGCGCAAGCATATCCTATTTCTTAATTATTATTTTTTTGAAATTCAGTAGCGCCCTTGTCATTCTGTACTTATTAAACTATTGACCCACCCCTAATAATTATTCGCTGATCAAACTGAGCATATTATGGGCCTCTTGTTAATTTGTTAACAAAAGGAGTCACAAAGACCAGGAACAAGAAGGTTGGTCGATTACAACTAATGCTGATCCAGAAGGGCAACGTTATCCTTCAAACGACCGGTCTGCCAATTTCCATGAAGAGGGGCGCTGCGAACATCCTCGCAGAAAAGGCAGTTGGCAGCATTGTAATCAACAGGGAACAGGACCAGGTAGCCATTCGTCTAGTATCCATGATGTCAATCCAAGGGAAGAAGAGCCACGCATGCATGAGGGTAGATCTGGGAAGTCTAGAAAGCCTGCAGGTCGCAGTCCATTTGGACAGGCATAGAGATGTTGGGCAAAATAAGAGAATAAATCATTATGGATCTGAGTGGAGATATAGACGAAGAAGGTGATGCGTCTTGGTAGGCAGTAGAGCCCAGCCGAACTCTGAGAATGTTATTGCCTGTGTGTAGACAATTCGGAGAATTCTATTCAAGTAGGGCGCCGGAATTTTCTAGATAATTCTCGAGTACACTGTCTGCGTAGTAGTAGCTTAACTAAGTTTTTAATTCGATATTTGTCGTGTATGTTTCGATAAGCGAATTTTTTAGTGAAAGTTGTAGTTTAATAAAAGTTGTTACTATTTGTGAAGTGAGTTTTAGTGAAACTGGAATCCGTGACAGTATCATTGAAGAAACTGGCATACCTATTATGTCCTTGCTAAAAAAATGTCCATGCAATCTCTTTTAAAACAGAAAACCAAAGTAGCAGAAGCTGATGTTTTCAACAGCGAAATAACTAGTTCCTCTAACAGAAGGCAAAAGACAAAAGTAGACACTCTCAATATTCCTCAGGTTGAGAAAAATGTGTATCTTCGAAGTTGAGGGATTTTTTGCTAGTGAATGTATGTTGATAAATGATAATATGCTTATTTGTTAGTTCTCATCGTTGAAAATATTTCAATGAAGTTTTTGCCTTGTTGCTCATTATTATTCTCATAAATATTATTTGTTAGAACAATTTCATATTTGAATATTTGATGTCATCAGACAATGTTTGCCTCAAAGTTTCCAAATATTTACAGACAATTATTGCTTTCTCAGCTACCTCAATAAATTCAAATTTTGTTAGATATGTACATTTTAAGAAGAATCCCAGACTTTTGAATCAAGGAAAAATATGTTTTATTCATTATCAAATTTTCCGCATTGGCTGAAAATAAAACAAGATATTTTTTTATGTATATTTATTTTATGAAATCATTTCAACAAGCTTTTCTTTCATGTCAATAACGTTATTTTCGTAAATGAAACAAAACAAAACATTTCAACAATACGGTCATTATTTTGAAAGATACCTAACTCGCTGTGTGGTATAATTAATGTCTGGATTTCTATGTTGCCTATTTATGTTACCATCCAGGGCACGCAACGCATAAAATAATAGATAATTTGAATAGCTATAACATTAGAACAATTCTAAATGAAACTGAAATTAAGTGCGTTGTTTCCCTTCTTTATATTTTCTTAATGCTTCTAATTTGTTGTTTTTGATACCTACCTTTATTTATTTTTTTTATCATAGGATTTTACCATTTCTATAACAAGTTTAGTTCAAAAGTTCTAATGTCATCAACAATCCCATCAGAATAGGTACATTATATAAACAGTAAATAATTAAATTTTAAGCTACAAAACCTGCATTTTTATTTTGTATAAAATTTGTTTGAAAAACTTATTCCCCAATCGAAAAGTTAAATTATTGTTCCCATGCAGACGTCAAACTGTGACAATTTATGAACTTTATATTAATTTTCAACATGGTTTCAGTCCAATAAATAATGGTTATAGTCCAATAAATAATCCAGTGAAGCCAGCTTGGACAATTACGGCAATAATCGGGAGCGTAATTTTTCCTGAATACGATTATCCGGCAAAATGTGAATATTAAATTTATGCCGTAAGGCACATCATGATTAATACACCTAAATAAACTTTTTGTTCTTTGAAATTTTAGAATAAAACTATTAGACTTGAGCTTCACCATTGAAACTGTTACGTTGTTGCCAGGTTCAAATCCAAACTCAAATTAACATTCTATAAGGATTAGTGGACGTTTTACATTTAAATTTCGGTTGGTATTTGGTTGATTCAAACTCGTTCAGTCTGTTTAAATTTTAATCTTATAGATCGCCAAAAACCCTGCCTGATGGATTTTTCGATTTTTTCAATTATACAGTATTCGCTCGCTTTTCTCCTAAACGTACTCAAAACTACCTCCAAGGTTTCTTTGGTCATAAAAGCAGTCCAAAAATGAAAATATATTTTCCTATTTACACAACAATCTAGATGGAACGGTTACAAATCCCCTCAGCGCAATTAATTTAAAAGTTTTAATAGGCATACTTCAATGTTTATCAGCTTATTGGAAATTACGTTTCATATAACGAGAAGGGCGCTTTGTGGAAGAATAAACACGGGCCATTAAAAGTTTTATACTTATGGCCGAGTTTATTACATAAGTTTTTTTCAATAGCAAAATGCGAACGTAGAAATGGCAGTGGCTAGACTGAGCCTTGGATTAGAAATAACTTTGGCATGTGATTTACTGAATAATTTTTGTTTCAGATTTTTAACTTTTTGCTACATATCAGCAATTAACGTATGGCTCATTTTGTGTCCAGCTACACTCTCACATGATTGGCAAATGGGCTCAGTACCTTTGGTGACGTCTATCAGTGACTTTAGAAATTTTGTAACCTGTTTTTTCTTTGGTTTGGTGATTTTGTTGACATTGAGGAGCATTATGGACTTTGAGGTGAGTATGCTGAACTTATATTTTCGAAGGAGTTTAAGGCTTTAAAGCTTTCATGGAGAATGCCATCAATATTCCGTTGTTCGTAACCAACTTTTCCAATTTAAGATTCAAAACTTTAATGCCAGCTAGTGGAGCTTACACATCCATGAAAGTTTCTCCAGACAATCTCTTTATGCTCTTTAAGGACAAATTAATGAATTATAATGGAAAATAACAAATAACAAAATAAATAATCTTTTTTTAGGCTTTACGTCATCCTCCCTTGATATTGGGCCTTCTTCTTTTGGTGCTGCCTTTTCTGCCAGCGTCCAACCTGTTTGTAACTGTAGGGTTTGTCATAGCAGAAAGAGTACTCTATATTCCTAGGTAAGTCACAGCGAAAAATTCTTAGATTATGTTACGTATACAAACATTTATGCTGCACAGAATAATTTGAAAAAAAACTCTTGTCCTAGATCAATCTATAAAAAAAATATTGTTTTATTTTTTCAGTTCAGGATGTATCCTTTTAGTATCCTATGGAATTCAAATTCTTTGGACAAATTGCTCAAAACACAGGCAAACAGTTTTATGTTTCATCATACTAATTTTAGTCAGTAGCTTTTTACGTACAGTAATTAGGAATAAGGATTGGAAGTCAAGGGAATCGTTATTACGGTAAGTAAAACTCATCAAATTTATCATTACAAACATGAAAAATAAATGTTCCAATCCTAGTCCGAAAGTTCAATTTGAAATTTAAATTTATTCTTCGCCAAGAGCGCTGCTGAAAATCCACAGATCTGTTGCATATTCTTCGAGCTAGATGAGCTTGAAAATTTGGATAGTCTAAAATAAATATTTTAGTTCGGACTAGAGTTCGTTTTTCGTTTTTCTACTCCAATACTAAGCTCAATAAAATTATTGGAATCAAAATCAAGTAATCATAAACAAAATAAATTAAATTCTATTTATTCTATTAGGGCCAAAATATTTTATCCATTTACAAATGCTGGAAATAAATTTCGGGTTTATAACCCGAAGGGGATTCAAAGGAAGTACTTTACAAAAGGATTTTATTTTGGCAACTGTAATAAATCCGTTATGGTTGTTGGGTATACTACCAACCTAATAAACTTGTGTAAATATTAATTCCGTCACCGGTGAGAGCATTTAAAATTATCACCTTATTGCTTGCAAATATTTTTTTAATAAAGCCTTTTTCTTTATTACAGGGCCGGACTTCAAACGCTACCTCACAATGCCAAAATGCACTATAACTACGCCAATTTTCTACGTGATTCCTCGTTTCCAGAGCTAGCAAAATCCCATTATTACATAGCCCTAAGGTAAGTGATAGCGATAATAATTTTGAAAATAATTATTCATCTCCCAAACCGCAGGAAATTTTTAAATTTTCCGGACTATCGGATAACAGATGATTTATTCCCATGAAACCCAGTTCAGGGTAATGATTGCAATACTATTCTTCTTCTTCTTCCTAGCCGTTCTCTATTCTCTGGATATAGGTAGGCCTCTCTCATATTTTGCCAGGTATTTCCATTATGTGGTACCAGTTTAGTCCTGCTGTTCGCTTGATGATGTCGTACCAGCATTGCTGGAATCTGCCGATTCTTCTTCGTTCCCTCCCAATTCTTCTTTTCAGATCTTGCTTCTGTTTCTCGCAATGTGTAATGTTTTCGAGCTTTGCTGTATTTCTTATCCATTCGTTGGTATGGTGATCCCTTAGTGTAATGCCTGTAATTCTTCTTTTGAATGCTCCCTGATGTTCCAGCTTATTTAGGATTTTCTTTGTGACCGTTTGGCTTTCATAGGCAACTACTCAGAGAATACATCCGTTGTAGACTTTAGTTTTCCGCTTCAAACGTAATTCGGACCGGAATATGTGTCGCATTTTAATTTCAAGCTCTTGATTGACTTTGCCTTGTCTTAGATTCTATTCTATTCTATTCTCTCCTGGGGTGTGCGGACACCTGCACTGGAGCTCGTGGCTTATTGTGCCCCCCTGAAGTTTTCATATCTGGTCCACTCCCTTAGTAAAATCTAGGATGTCCCTGATATCCGCTTTCGTAATTTCCTGTGGTTTCGGATACTGTGTCCCAAAGTGCCGCTGTCTTTGCCACCTAAGGTTAGGACACATTGGCCTAGTACATGTAGAGGAATTTCATTTTCCTCTGCACACCTTTCGCGCAGCGAGTCTTCTGTTAGCTTCATTGTATTTAGGTATTTTCTGAGAGTGCAGTGTCCTGTCAACAATCCAACCACATCTCCCAATTGTTTGCTGCTTAAGCTGAGCAGTTGGGTTCTGCTCTTAGATGGTCCTTTCATGCAGAGTTTGGACTGCCTGAGTCCAGGAAGTTCCATCCAGAGTTTTTTATGTTGCTTTCTCAACTGTTCCTCCAGTTTGCCTCCTACATGTTGATATGATATACCATATGTGGGCAGGATTCCAATTAGGGTTTTCTCTGATCCTTTTCTTGCGAGAAGATCGGCTTTTTTATTCCCTTCAATTCCTGCATGACCTGCCACCCATTCAAGGATCACCTTGTAGTGTTTTGTCAGTTCAGCCACAGTTTTTGGACGTGGTGTTTACGCTCCTTAATGACTTAAGATCTGTTTGGCGATCGCTCCTGATCCGGACCGTCCGATTAGGAACTGTCTCTCTCAGAATGATCTCCGCGCATGTTGTTATCGCAACTATTTCAGCCCGCATGATGGTATCGATCGAGCCCAGGTTAAGACTGTACGTCTTCCCCGTGTTCTCGTTATAGATTACAACGCATGTGCTAATGTGCGTATTCGATCCATCTGTATACCAGACAGATTCATGGGGTTTGCGTGTCTTCCCAATTTTAGTCTTAGATACAGAGATTGATCGAGGATGGCGTCCGATGATGACATTGAATCGGATTCGGCTAGCGTAAATGGCGTTATTAGTACCAAAAATAGTGTCGTGCAAGTCCTATTTTTGTGCTGTGTATGAAGAAGTTTACCATGGTAGCTGTACAAGAAGGAAAAACTTAAAGTTTATCAGCGAGTCGGGAGTCTAGTGCTGTGATTGTAGTGATTTGCCGCCAAAAGCTGACTTATCAGATGGAAACAAAGATGTTTCCTCGAAACTAAAATATGAAAACGACAAATTAAATACTGAAATCAGTCTACTAAAAAGGCTTATCGATGAAATGGCCGATAAGAACACAGTTTTGAAGGAAAATAACCGTCTTTTGGTGGAACGTATCTCTGTCTGTTATTAAAGCGCGTGAACAAAGGCAAAGTGTAAGCCGCGGGCGTTCTACCAGTTCTACTCACTTGACTTCCGGCCTTGCTGTAACCCAAGCGCGTTCGGTGACTCCGAACCTGAACATGACTGGTGTCACCGGCGCTAGGACCGGTGGCGAGAACTTAACCTCTAATGAAAATGTAAACAATAGCCATAGTAGAAATAGTAGATTATACCACGAGTCAATAATGATAGCTATTATTCCCGAGGAATATTTACGAACTGAGCCGCGTTAGCGGCGAGGGAGTAACATTCCGCGGGAATAATCGCCATTATTACGAGTAGTATACTCTACTTTATTTACGACAATTTAATTTAATTGAAATTTTCTTTTCAAAAACGCTCTTTGTTCATCCATCTCAATACAAATACACGAGCACTACGCGTTTGACACTGACACATTTGAGTTTGTTCGTATATTATTTCCATGGTACTACTTATTTAATTTGAGAAATTTTGTGAGTGGTGTGCAAGCGGGAATAATGACCATTAATCCCTGCGGGAATAATATATGGCATTATACTGTCAAAATCACAAATATAATACTTACATTATATGTCAGTCGTAAATAAAATTGTTGAAACTGTATCGCTGACAAACGCGAATCAGGCTATTATTAATAATGCAATTCTAAGCAACATAAATCATGCTGGAGACAACGATGGTTTTTCTACAGTTAGTTATCACCGTAGTAAAAAGAAACAGTTTCGTGGTACCTCAACAGTCGAAATAAATCAAGAATTTATATCTTCAAAAGGAAACAAGATGTGGTTTTACGTCGGAAAGGTCGCCCAGTCAGTGGATCCTGCTAAAATTCGCAGGTACATAACTCAAAGACTGCCAAATATTAGTGAGGATAACTTAATCGTTGATCAGCTTGAAATTATAGGGGAAACCAATTCTTTCAAAATTGGTGTCATTCCCGTTCACTACAATGTTATGAACTCCTGCGAATTATGGCCTAGTGGTGTGATCTTTCGTAGATTCAACTTCAGCAGCAGACTGGTTTCCGTCCAAAATGCTCAACTGAAACCAATCTCCTGTCCTACCAGGAAAAAGTTTCAAGGATTCTTGAGGATGGCGGATCAGTTCACTCCATATATACCGATTTCGCAAAGGCATTTGCTTGCTAAGCTTGAAAGTGCTGGAATCTCCGGTACTTTGTTGAAGTAGATTAGTGACTCTTAGGGAGAGAATTAAAATAAACAAAATCAACAACTTCTTCTCACACGCATTGACATCCGGCGTTCCACAGGGTTCTCACTTGGAATCCCTGCGTTTCAACGTTTTTATTAACGATATCAAGCCTTGTTTCATTAACAGTGAGTTTCTGTGCTTTGCGGATGATTTAAAGGTGTTCACTCAAGTCTCTTCCATTGAAGACTGTGCCAGACTACAATCTGACCTTGACAGACTTTCTTAGTGGTGTGTTTCGAGCGGCATGGAGCTCAATGCTTCCAAATGCAAAGCCATTGTTTTCTCCAAGGGTCGTAGCCCTCCATAATTCCCGTATCATATAAACAACGTGCGGCTTGAAACAGTCTCACAACAACGAGATCTTGGTGTCATCCTTGACAGCAGTCTCAATTTTATTGCCCATATTCCAGACATCACGACAAGGTGCTTAAAACTCGTAGGCTTCGTTAAGAGGTGTTCGAGAGACTTTATACAAGCATAGATTCTATCAGATACCTTTATTGCTCAATGGTGAGGCCCCTGATGGAGTACTGCTCCTCTGTCTGGTCACCGATGTACTCTAATCATATCAGAGCCCTAGAGCTAGTGCAGCGCAAATTCGTATGTTATTTAGCCTTCAAGGCAGGTATTCCTTCGCCTGAGAAGTACGTATATGACTACGATGACCTAGACAGACCCTTCAGTCTACAACCCTTAGCAGCTAGATGTAATAAAAGTGATTTGTATACTTTTTACAAGGTTCTGAACTCCATTAGTGATTCCGCATACCTACTGTCCAGAATAGGGCTTCATGTTCCAGCAAGGGACACCCGCTCTTCCATAACCTTCTCAGAAAGAAATCATCGTACAAACTATGGTTTCAATACATTCATCTCCAGAACTTCTCGATTATGTAACACTCATGATAGCCTGGATTTTTTGGATCCATAAATAGCTTTAAAAGAGAGCTTAACTCTCTAATGTGATAGTAATTCTCATCATTTGTTTGTGATACCAAGTTAAATAGCTAAGAATGTCAAGTCATCTTGATCAGTCATTATTTATGTCTGTCCTCATTTTTTATACCTATAACCGATTTAATCTGAATATAAAATCGAGATGTTACTTCAAGGTTGTCACCGCTTTAATTATGCAAATCAGGCAATCTGAATATAAAATCGATATGTTTATGTTAGTTCAAGGTTGTCACCGCTTTTGCATACATTTAGTGCTGACATAGATAGGCAATTACTTATACATAATTGAAGTCGGGTAAGTGTTTGGAAGAAGTCCGGAGAGGTCAGGAAAGGGCTGGATAAGGTCTGGAGAAATCTAAACAAGTCTGGATAAAGTCTGGATAAGGCTGGATAAAGTCTAGCTAAGTCTGGAAACGTTTGGATAAGTTTGGATAAAGTCTGGAAAAGCCAGAAAATTCCTGGAAACGTCTGGAAAAGGCTCTAATAGGTCTGGAGAAATCTAGACAAGTCTGGATAGTCTGGAAAAATCTACCCAAGTCTGGATAAAGTCTGGAAAAGCCTGGAAATTTCTGGAAACGACGAGAAAAGGCTGGATAAGGTCTGGAGAAATTCAGACAAGTCTGGATAAGGTCTGGAAAAGTGTATTTGAAGTCTGGAAAGGTCAAAGGGCTAGATAAGGTCTGGAGAAATCTTGACAAGTCTGGATAAAGTCTGGATAAGTCTGGATAAAATCTAGCTAAGTCTGGAAAAGTCTGGATAAGTTTGGATAAAGTCTGGAAAAGAGCCAGAAAATTTCTGGAAACGCTATATTAGGTCTGCAGAAATGTAGACAAGTCTGGATAAGGTCTGGAAAAATCTAGCTAAGTCTAGAAAAGTCTGGAAAAAGTCTGGAAAA